CGATTAATTTTGAAGACGAAGTAGCAAAGGCGAAGTTCAGGCATCTAGTGAAAAAGCTCGTAATTAGCTCTGAAAAAGGTTTTGGAGCTACTTCGTCTTATAAGGATGTGTTTTCAGATTATCCGGGTGCCAAACCGGAATCCGACGATACAGCTCAGAGCGGTGCTGACGGGTCTAATGGAAATCCTGGCGCGGACGATAAGAGCCAATCGGAAAACAACCAAAAACCGGGTGACAAAAGTTCAGAAAAGCCAAAAGCACCAAAGCTGACAGCAGGTGCCCTTTTCAACTATCCCGTCACAGCGAATAATCTTCTACTAAAACAACTGATGAAAGAGTGTAAGGCAATCAATGCCAACAAGCTTCCAGCTTCCGCAACCGCATTATTGCGAAGCACTATTGAGGCGATATTGAAAACAATCATCGAGGATCAAGGGGCTAATCCTAAGAGAAATCTTCTAAGTCTCGAGACGGCTCTGGATATTTGCTTGGGTAATACTGTGCAGCTTGGTGTAGATGATCGAAAGATATTGAAGGAATTCAAGAAGAATCATCTCGACTATGTTAATCTGGGTGCCCACGCTACAGTGGTGCCAAATGCGTTGCGTTTAATGGCCGCTCGCGATTGTGTTGACCAGTTTGTAATGAGGAACATTTGAATGCTTACCTCTCCACTAAGGTATCCAGGTGGGAAGGCGAAGCTTTTTCATTTCTTCACAGAGACGATTAAGTGTAATTCGTTGTTTTCAAAGACTTATTGTGAGCCCTATGCAGGAGGCGCTGGGCTGGCGCTAAAACTGCTATCTTCAGGTTTCATCGACAGTGTCGCACTCAATGATATCGACGAAAGCATTTTTGCTTTTTGGCACTCGGTTCTTCGTCGTCCAGACGACTTTTGTGAGTTAATCCAACGGACACCTATAACAATTGAAGAGTGGTATCGCCAAAAGTCAGTTTGGGAGTCGCGAGATCTCTCATGTCCATTGTCGCTTGGTTTTGCTGCGTTTTTTTTGAATCGTACGAACAGATCAGGAATAATTGAGGGTGCAGGTCCAATCGGTGGATATGAGCAAGCCGGGGCTTGGAAACTAGATGTAAGGTTGAATAAGGACCAGCAGATAAAAAATATTGAGAATTTAAAGTGTTTTAGTTATAAGATTGATGTAACAAATTCTGATGCTTTGAACTTTACAAAGAAGAAACTGGAATATAAGGATAATTTTTTGTATTTAGATCCTCCATACTATGTAAAAGGTAGTAAATTATACAGAAATTTCTACAATCATCAGGATCATGTGAACATATATGATATGCTTCTTAATTCCCGAAACGGATTGTGGGTCGTTTCATATGATGACGTTCCGCAGATTCGTGAGATTTACGGAGAATTTAACCCAGTTAGCTATTCGCTGCACTACAGCGCAGGCAAGAAAACTGCTGGTCGAGAGATCATATATTTCAGTGATAAACTAGTTCCGCCATTGGTGGAAGGTTTCGAGCCAACCCTAGCCGCATGAAACGTTTCCAAATCTGATACCTGTCGCGGGGGGCTTCTTGGGCTCTCTGTTTTGGCTAGGGATACAAAGGCGTCTTTCCGTTGTCGTTCAAGAGTGGCTTCCGTGCGATAGTGATAGGAGTTGAGAAGGATACCGAAACACGGCGCTACCGCGGTTATCAAGCTGAAAATGTACCGGACAGTTCCGGTCTCAGGAGTGATGCGGATGCAATCAATTCCGTCTTTCACATAGACATCTTGTCTTCTAAGCTGTGCAACCTCGCCCATCCGTGCACCTGAGTATGCACAAAGCCAAGGGAGCCATCGGCGGGCGAAGCGTGTGTGCTCGGCCATGTGTCGTGGGTCAGCTTCTGCTTCCGTAGCGGCTTTAAGTATGGTGATCGCCTCTTCTTTCGTGAAGCCCTGCGGGCGAGTCAGAACTCTTTTCTGAGATGGAGCTTTAACACCGATAACAGGATTGGAAGCGACTAGAAGCTGGTCTACTCCGACGGCGTAGATGGAGTTCAACGCAGCTCAGTTGGTCTTTTTGAATGTGTTGGGAGAAATCTTGCCGCTTTCGATAAGCTCTTGTCGCCAACGGACGATGTCAGCTCGAGTAACCTTTTCCGCGTGATCGTGGCCCAGAAAACCGATGAACTGATCGACTACCGGCCGCCAACGTCTGACAGAGGACTTCGCGCCACCGAGGGTTTCATGTTGTTTCTGCCAACATTTGAATAGCTGGCCGATAGAAACATAGGTGGATGCGTTTTCAGGCTTTGTGACAGGTGACTTCCAAGCCGGATACATTGCATCGTTTGTGTCCACTGAGTAGTCGCCTTCAGAATTGCGTTCAAGCTTGTCATCAGCGCGGTCGCCAGCATCCCGAAATGCTTTCAGCAATCGCCGACGGCTATCTGTGTCGACCTCAAGTCCTTCCTCGTTGAGAAAAACATCTAGAAAAGGACCGAACCGATCCCCCATTTCTCGCGCAATGCCTTTGGCTTTTGCCTCGTTCCCAATGCCGAGCATTCCGAGGGGGCCGCCTTTGGCTGCGAAATCATCCGCTTCTTTGACACGTTGCCACATAGCGGTGCTGCCCGGATTATCCTCAAGCGTTTCAGCGAAGACGCGATAGAAACGCCCAGCGAGCGCAAAGACTTGCTTGTTGGTCAGCTTTTGTGGCCCGTTCCTGAGGCCTTCCCGGATCTTCGCAAGGTTTGCTTCGGCAACTCTGAAGCGTTCTTTGGCTTAAGCCAATTCATTGGTTTGGAGAGATGCTTTGACCGCTTCGCCAATTGTGACCATGGCCTTACCCGAACCAATGTTCAAAACTAAGGAGCGACCTTTGGCTTTGTCGCGAAGGTCACTGGGAACCGTACTCTGAGGTAGTAAAAGCCGGTGGTATTGTGATTGATGGACGAGGTACAGGAAGGACCATGTGTACGAGCTTTGTGTACAAATCGGCTAGAGAATATCCAATCAATACCAAAGAGTTACATGAAATAAAGAGATGATATGGTGCTGCCGGAGAGATTTGAACTCTCGACCTCTCCCTTACCAAAAGTGTGGCCTGATTGTGGAAAGTGCCAATTTTGCAATTGTTTATGTTTCCAATCAAAAGCTGACTGTCTGGGAAATGCAGAATTGATGAAACTTTCGTTCTTGATCTCCGTGCGAACAAAAGTTGAACGCTGAGAATTGGCTTCCTGTGAGTTTTGTTTGCTGAAGAAGCCCAGAACGAACATATCATTATCTCGGGAGTGAGGGTTTCAAGTTTCTCAGCGTCTCGTGAAAACTTCCAGTTCCAAATAAAGAAGCGTCGGCTGGTGTCAATTCGTGCGACGAACGAAAATGGACGTACTTGGGTTTGTCGTTTGCCTGCCTGTGTATAAAAAGAGTCCCGCAAGTGCATTGCTAAAGGCTGCTATGAGGCCGAGAGGGTACAGTCTGGTTTTGGCTGTCGACTGACGAAACTTGCCATTCGCCCTGCGTCGATCAGACCGGAGCAAGAGCTGTGCCCGTCGGCACGCTGACCTCGAACCAAACATATACATCTGCCACTGATAGTCCGTGCCACGAGTTTCGGAGCCGTTAATCGTCAACGTAGCAGCAAACACACACATTGGTCCCCGCGCCGGTTCTTTTCGCCGAAGAGTACGCCAACCCATCCCTCTCGCTCAGGGGCTATGACAAAGAGAATTCAGCTTTTCCAGCGCTGACCAACATGCATCAGTTTCGAGCGACGCGATTCATGCAACACTTTCAAGCATTCATCGAGAGCCTGGCCCGATGAATCCAGTTGCACATGGTTCTGTGTCCTGACGGCCCATCATCAGGGTCAACGGTCGAATGACAACCTTTCCAAGGCGTAGAAAATCGAGACCGCGAGGGAGTCGGATCATGATCAACGAAAATAACCAACAAAATTGGCGCAACCGAAAGACGCCAACTCTTTCAGAACACCGTTTCGCCATCGGACAATTTGTAAGAATGAGGAACGACCCCCCGATGACTTCCTCAAGTCGTGGCGTTTCTTTCCGCATCACCGCGTTGATGCCCAGCACCCGTGACGTAGCGCAATACCGGGTCCGCGATGATCTTGAGTTGCATGAACGTATGGTCACCCAGGACAAGCTCGAACCTCGTGGCGATTTTCGAAACAACCCAGGACAACGCGCTTTTGGTCACGAAAACGGTTGACCAACGGTAAGGCTTTGGGCGTTGCAAGGCAGAAAGCCCAGACGCCAGCCAATTTCAGTGGTGCGCGAATGTCTATAGGTGCGCGAATGTCTATATAGGAGACTGACAATGTCAGAGATCAAGCTAACGAAAGTTGAGGCGCGGCCCGGTGGCCAGCTCCTATATTATGTTCGCGTGAACACTGCGGCTGGCAAGGTTGAATTACCTGTCGCCATCATGGAACAGGGATCTGACGCCTCGAACGAAACGAAAGTTCTTCAATCTTCGCTCGCTATTGCGGAAGAATTGGAGGGCTCAATTAGGTCTCATCTCGAACCATAGCCGCAATCGATCTCCTCAAAAAACGGCCATCGCCATGACTGGGCGGCGAACGAGAAGCTAGATCACACTAGCAGTAAAAAGAAGACAAATTAGAAGTATTTGGTCAGTCGAACCCACCAGGTAGCTAAAAACTGCGCGTTCAAGGTCTTTGCACGTGCCGCCCGCCGTGTCGAATTGTCGGCATTTGTTTTTGTCATTTGATCCAGCGCATCCTCCGCGTTCATGTCCTCCATCAGGTCGCCGCCAATTGTTGCAGGACTGCCGGTAAAGACGTGGTAAATCGTCCAGGAGCCGTCAGCTTCTACACGCTTGCCATATTCACTGTGCATGGAATCCTGCACGGGTGCTCCTCCCTCGTTGTCCCAATTTTCAAGCGCGCGGTTCATGAAATTGAACGGATCTGGAGAAAGTACCAAAAAGGGTGCAGGTTCGGACTGTTTCCAGTTGGGTAGTTCCGACTTTTCGGTCGAAACCGACTTGGTCATTGCTTGCTCTCCGTCAGGTCACTGACCAATTCGCCGCCGCTATCTGGCTGGCGGCGTTCCTGTTTCTCGACTTTCGCCTGCATACCCCTCAAGAACTTGAAGAGATCACTCTCCGTAGACAAGACAAGGGTCGTTCCGGTGGATATCATGTCCTTGTAAGCCTGCATGGTTCGCGTGAATTCGTAGAATTCCGCGGCTTGCACGGTTGTGTTGTAGGCCCTGGCGTAAATGTCGGCCGCGGCTGCATCGGCCACTCCCCGGATTTCCTCCACTGCGCGATAGGCTTCGGACTGGATCTTGTTCAGATCGCGCACACGGTTACCGCGAATACGTGCGGCCTCGCCATTGCCCTCCGACAGGAAGCGTTCGGCAATCTGCCGGCGTTCCGAGACCATCCGGTCGTAAATCTTTGGCCGGACGCTTTCATTGTAGTTGATACGCTTGAAGCGGATATCGAGCAGTGCAATTCCGAAGACGCGGACTTTCTCGGCCGCTGCTTCGAATATTTCCCTCTCGACAAGTGCACGACCTTTCTGGATTGGAACAAGCGACCCGATTTCCTGCGCAAGTTCCTCGTCTGTGAGGAGTGTGTCTCGCAAGGGGGTGCGCCCTCTTGTCGTCCGGATGATTTCGATCAGCTCGTGCTTGGCAACCGCATTGCGTGTCTCGCTGCCCAAAATGTCGTCGAGCCGGGACTGGGCGCTGAGTTCGTCGCGAAGTCGGAGAAAATATTGCAAAGGGTCGGTGATCTTCCAGCGGGCGAAAAGGTCGACGGAAATATACAGCTTGTCTTTTGTTGGCATGTCGGAGGGGTTGCCATCCCATTCCAGAACCCGGCGATCAATCCGGTTGACGTCCTGAACGAAGGGAAGTTTCAGTTTGAGACCCGACGTGGTAACCGGTTCTCCCACAGGCTTACCGAACTGGGTGATGATTGCCTGTTCAATTTCGCCAACGGTGTAAATGGCAGTGGAGGCTGTCACAACGGCAACGGCTCCAATCCCGGCAAGAAGTCCCCATACGATCTTCATGGCCGGTTTTCCTTTTGATGGTCGAGATTGAGAAGCGGCAGGATGCTGCCGGTTGATCCGTCAACGATGATCTTCGATTCGATACCGGGCATCACATCCTGAAGGGTTTCGATGTAGATCCGCCGGCGGGTTACATCCGGTGCTTTCAGATACTCGGTCAAGAGCGCAGTGAAGCGCGACGCGTCGCCTTCGGCCTCGTTGATCCTTTTCAACCGATAGCCATCCGCCTCACGAATACGCTGGTCCTTTTCGCCTTCCGCCAGCGGGATGACCTTGTTGTATTCCCGGCGGGCCTCGTTGATCAGACGCTCCTTTTCCTGCTGCGCCTGGTTGACTTCATTGAACGAGGACTGGACGGGCTCAGGTGGGTTGATGTTCTTGAGCTGAACCTGGTCGATGCTGATGCCCATGGCGTATTTCGTGGCCAGAGCCTGCATCTTCAGGAGTGCTTCGCTTTCGATTTCCTGCCGGCCGATCGTGATGACTTCGTCGACAGTGCGGTCACCAACCACTTCGCGCATGACGGATTCCGAAACATAGCGAAGCGTGGCGGCCGGCTCACGCACCTCGAATAGAAACTTGACTGGATCCGAGATACGATATTGAACCACCCATTCGACCAACGCCGCATTCAGGTCGCCGGTAACCATCTCGGTCTCGCGCCGGCCGTCGGTGGGACTTTGATAGGGATCGTTGCCACCTGGCGTGGTGAAGCCGAATTCCTGCTTCAATTGACGCTTGACCGGGACAATCGTCGCTGTGTCGATCCCGAGGGGGAACTTGAAATGTAGCCCCGGCGGGACTTCCGCGACGAACTTTCCGAAACGCTGAATGACTGCTACGGAGTCACTGGGTACGGTGTAGTAGGATGACCAGAGCCCGTAAGCGGCAAAGCTCAGTGCGCCGGCGATCAGAAGTCCGCGGCCCGAGGGAAAGCCACCCGGTAAAATGCCACCGAGGCGCTGGCGACCATGCTGAAGAAAAGTGTCGATATCCGATGAACGGTCTCTCGTCCCCGTGCCCCATGGGCCCGAACCGGGAGGACCGTTGTTTTCCAATGTCATGACAGTTCTTTCCCGAGAATCACTTGCGCGCCGGCTGACCGGGACGGATTGCTCTCGTTCTTCAAAGTGAATTGTCAGGCGTTCGGCATCGCCAGGCTGATCGCCGAGACAGGCTTTGCTGCCGAAAAGTGCCGTCATACCCGGTCGAGATACGTGGCCTGGCTTTGCTCTTATTCCGGCTCGTTCACGAAGACCCGCATGCCTTCATTTTCCGCCGCCTGGATGGCAAAAGTCTCCCTTCGGCCATTTCGCTGCTTACGGCGAAAAAAGTCCTTAAGTGTGAGATCTTCCTTCACGTAGTTAGCTACGGTATCCACCGCGACATCATCGTGAAGTTGGAGGTCCTCTGCGAGCGTCGAACCAAGTATACTTGCTGGCATGATGATCGCTCCCGGTCACGATTTTTCGAGTTCGAGCGCAGCCAGGCAGGCTTGCGCCAAATCTCGGTCGGAGCTATCCGAACCAGGAACCGTCGCCCATCCAGTTTCCATGAGCGCATTCCTGCGCTGGTATGCAGAGGTTTCACGAATCTTTGCCAGCTTGGTGGCGCGTTCTGCGTCGGTTTGGGATAGGCCGACGCAAACCGGCACCAGCGCTGCAATTACCCTGTCATGTGACAGCGTGTTCGCCATCTTTGCCGCGTTTCCACCGGTTACCCAGCCGCCCCAGGAAAATCCCACCGCGCTCACGGCAATTGCGCCGATCACGACGCCGAGCGCAACAGGTTTCAGCCATTCGGGAATGTTCATTTCAAGTCCTCCGCAGGAGCTGCCTTGCTGTTTTGTCTGTCATCGTTGGCGGCCCGGTCTCGGTTGAGCACGGCTTCCAGATCGTTTCCGGAGATTTCCCGCATCACGGTCTTCCCCTTGCCAGCAACGATCAGATACGTCGCCGTCTTTCGGTATCCGAGGAAATTCATATCCTGAAGAAGTTCTTCTTCGACAAGGACTTCGTAGTCTCCGGCAGGCAGGACTTCCGATTGCCCATTTAAAGAGAAGGGGTGGAAGAACTTCACCGTCGATCTGGTCGATCGGGTGTTCATGGCAATATCCGCCGTTTTTAATTGGTTGTGCTTCAATCAAGCTCCCAGAATCGTCTTGGTCGATGATTTCATAGGAAGGCGAGACTGTTTCAAAGAATTTAGATGGACCCGGCCGGTCGTGTGCTGATCGAAGTTAGTCTCAATTGGAAATCTCGGTCCAGACCTCGAAATTTCCTAAAGTATTTTCGCCAAAGGTTTGTGTAAGCGGGACATCGGCAGCATCCCGTCCGCGGCCAATTAGAAACCGTGCGATGCGGCGTTGGTTGTTGCGCGGATCGAAGATCCACCATCGGTTTGCCAGGAAGACTTCCATCCAGGCTGCGAAATCACACGGGGTATGCGGTTCCGGCTCGCCGATATCACTCAGGTATCCCGTGCAATAGCGGGCCGGGATGTTCATGCATCGACAGAAGCTGATCGCAAGGTGGGTGAAGTCACGGCAAACACCCCGCCCTTCGGTCAGGGTTTCGGACGCCGTTCGGGTTGCGCGTGCATGCTCATAGCCGAAGGTCACCTGCTGATGCACATAGTCACAGATAGCCTGAACCCTGGCCCAGCCTGTCTTTGTTTCTCCGAACAGCCGCCAAGATTCTTGCGACAGCAAATCAGTATCGCAATAGCGGCTGCCCAATAGAAACACGAGTGCGTCGGATGGAAGATCTTGTACAGAGTGCTGATACGCAGCAGGAAAAAACCGATCTTTCTTTCCATGATCAAAAAAGATGCCTTGCGTCGCCATTCTGAAGGCGCCGGCCGGCGCTGTCAGCCTGGAACACCAGTTCCCAAAAACATCCTTGTAGCTCTCGATCGGCACGCAAGGAGTAGTTGTCAAAAAATCCAGTTGCTCGAGGTCGCAATAGTGTGTTGCATCAACGTTGAGCATCGCAATTATCGGTGTGGATTTCGGAAACTTGAAATCAAGACGGCAACCCAGGCTGATCCGGATATCACCCTTTCTTTCCCGTCTTGAGCATTCCAAACGGCCAGAAGACGACAGACCCTTCCTCATTTGAGTGAAAGCCTGGCCAGAGCGGCAGCCGTCCGAGCGTGTTCCGATTTCTGATAGTCCCCGAGAAAGGCGCCATCAACCCTTACTTCCCATATCCCATTTCTTTCCCGGACCTGCACCCGATCCTGCTCAGTCTCCGGAGGAAGCATATGGACTGAAGCAAGCACCAGTTTTCTCGGATGCTTGGAGGCCCTTTCAGTTTTTGTAACGCTCGATATTGGAAGGGCACTGGTTTCCCCGAGGTTTATGACCGCGCGCATGAATTCTTCGGCATAATCGTCAACGTCTCTATAGTCTTGTTCGCGGCGCGCCATCGAATTGGTGTCGACAAAGCGTGTCTTGAGGTGTTCGACAAACCGGGGCTCAGAGCAGGACATATACGCTATCAGAGATTGTAAAATTCTCTCGTGCGCTAGGACCCGCCTCTCGAGATCTGTGGAATCCGACTTGGGTCCGTCCCTCTTCAATTTCTTCTCCATAGCCGCAGTACTCCTTCGCATGTAAGCGCACGTCACGTTCAAAGCCTGCGAGCAAATGCTTCGGCAGGCACGTAGACACTTGAAAACAGGCTCGGCACTAATGAACCCCTTTCCAACGCGTGACTATTTGAGGTAACTTCGTTTTTCGGGGCAAGCGTTGCGAGTCCGCTTATGAGATTGGCCCGCCTGTTGTCGCAGTCTTTGTCAATGCCTTTAAAGGCGTGTCAAGAAATTGACCGAGTACCCGACCGCTCCGCTCATCCTACTTGGAGCCTTGGGGAAACATCCTGATCGAAGTTAGTGCTTGGAGTTTTTTCGTTCCGATGCGGTTAAGATTGTGACCTGCGGATTTACTATCTTGCTTACAAGTTTTTTTCGGGCCAACAAAATCAAGGAAAAGATTGACAAGAACGGCGGCATCTTTTGCACCTAGTTCTTTCCGGTCGCATTCCAAAGAAATTGGTCGGCCAGAATTAGGCATCGCGCAAGTATGAGTTTACTTCAGCAATGGCCCGTTTTGGTCTAGATATTCAGGATCGAACCCCGCAAATTCGACCAGGCGGTCACGATCGTGGAACGTCACCTTTCCGTTTCGAAACGTGACCAATCCGCTTTCACGCAATTGCCGCAAAACACGATTGACGTGCACGGCGCTCAGTCCCAAAGCATCGGCGAGGTGATATTGTGTCAACGGACAGTCGTAGCCACTTTGGCTACCCATGCCGACTAGAGCCAATCTCGAGCCAAGCTCCAGCAAAAAATGGGCCATACGCCCGTCCGCGTCACGCCGTCCGAGGCCAACGAGGTGTTCGACCACCATGGCTTCGTCCCGTGACGCGGCCCACAATACTGCGGCCGCTAAGCGAGGGAACATTGCAAACGCGTCAAGGAGGTCGCTAGCTTGAACTTCGACCGCCTGAATATCGGTGATCGGTTCAAAGCTGTGGTCCGAGGTGCGAAGCAGAACGCTGCGCAATCCAAGAAAGTCGCCAGGTATTTGGACGTCGACAATCTGGCGTGTCCCGTCAGATTGCGTCTTGTAAGAACATACCCATCCTGAAATCAGTATATAGGCAGCCTGCTTGGACTGTCCCTGATGTACAAGATCTCGACTCGCGACGAATGTTCTGCTGCGCTGGTGTAGTCGCTCCAAGACCACTAGCTCATTATCGGACAAG